CACCCGCAGTCGTCGGCCGCGCGCTCGCCCGAGCCGGACCCTAGCGCGCGTGCGCTTTACCGCCTCCTCGCCGGGCGCGGTGGGCTCAGAGGAAACCGCGGAACTGGATCGCCATCTGAAGCCTCACAGCGGCGAGCTGTAAAGCCCGGAACGGATCCACACCCCCGATTTCACTGGCCGGTGGATAGTGCCGAAAGAGACACACAACTCCGAGGCAGAGACGTCCTACCTCTGTGTTTTCTGCAGAAAAAGTGTGAGGGCAAAAAACAAGATAGTTGAGACAACCAAAGTGTTTGGTGTCCCCACCGCAGTCAGTTTTGTCCCTTTGGCCATTAGAGGCTAGGTTCAGTTGCAGTAGGAGGGTGCGAGTTACATTCAGTTCAGCACGGTGATGTATCCGTGTAATTCCAGCACGCAGGAGGCTGAGACGAGAGAGTCGCGGTGAATTCCGGGACAACCTCTGAGCTACACAGTGACATCCTATCTCAAAACGTCAAAACAAAGCGGATAGGGGGAGGGGGAAAGCTTCGCAGAGTGCTGGGAACCAACACAAGTGCTCTGCGGAGTTTAAGAAAGAAAGGGAAGTTGGTAGAGTTCAGACCGGCACGAGGTAGAGGTGGGTTGTTAGCGTAAACATTTAACTGCCGGGCTTAATAGATCTCAGCAGGCAAGTCTTCTGCCTTTTCTCATCTCTTAAGTATTCAAATGCCCCGCCTCACCAGGTTGCCAGCGGAAGGTAGCAGCCTTTATTTCAGCCACCAGTCAAGAGCTCAAGTTGATTTCCTGATGGCAATTACCATGAGCTACCCCCACCTCCATGCTTTCGAACTCAGTCTCTTCGGCTGTTTATTCATTTATTCATTTTATGGAGGGGGTGGTGAGTCAGGGTCCCATGTAAATCCGGCTGGGCTCAGACTAGCTATGGAGCAAGGATGGCCTTGAATTTTTGATCCAACTACCTATTTACCTTTGAAGTATTGGGATTACCGTATTATAGGCCGGCATCACCATGCCTAGAGTAGAACTCAGTGGGGTTCTTGTTTGTTTGTTTTGGCTTTTCAAGGGTTTCCTCGGTGTGTAGCCCTGGAACTAGCTCTGGAGATCAGGCTGACCTCGAACTCACAGAGATCTGCCTGCCTCTGCCTCCCCTGTACTGGGATTAAAGGCGTGCGCCACCACAACCCAGTTTAAAACACAGTGTTTTCAACTCTAGGCTGCAATCCCATTTAGGTTTGAATAACTGAAGGTAGAGGGTCAGGAAAATTAAGCAGCTGCAAGAGGTTTCTAATGCACAACGACCTGAAATTAATTCAATCGGTGTTTCTGGCAGGTTGTTGTAGAGGCATTTCATTTGTATTTTAATAAATAAAACTTGCATTAGGATCAGAGAGCAAAAAACAGTCCCACTGGTCAGTCTTACAGACTGGGCAGTGGTAACACACACCTTTAATCCCAGTAGCCACACTAGTTTGCCATAGAAACCGGGCATGCCTTTAATCCCAGGCCTAGAGAGGAATATAAAATGGGAGGAGACAGCTCACAGACACAGGAATTCTGAGATTCCTGGAGGCAGGATCGCCATTTTCAGACTGAGGTCGAGGTCAGAGCCAGTAGCTGACTGCTTTGCTTTTCTGATTTTCAGGTTGAAGGCCAATGTCTGTCTCTGGGTTTTTATTAATCGTGCTTCCGTTTGTGATGTGTTACACCTACAATGTCCCTACAGCCTTGGTTCTGAGCACACAACACGTACACTTTAAGCTACTCCTGCTGGATAGTTACAGCACCAACAAGTGCTATCTAAAACCCCTTGGCTCAGACGCTAGACTACTTTATGTTATGAATTGCAGTGTTTTAACTGTAGACATGAAGTTTTCTGTTCTTACAGCAACCTGAGAGTTTCATTATGAAAAACAAAGGCTCTTAACATTTTCCTATCTTTCCTCAGCATGTATCAAAGTAGTATTATCTTTGGATTGTGGTAGAATGCTTGGTTTTAGAGATTGCTATTTGGCTGGCTGACTTAAGCTTCATAAAACATTCATTAGATGGATTTTAGTGTGGGATTAGGACAGAATGTCCAATCATTCCTGAAAACACTTCTGCCACTTTGTAGTGTGTCTTTAGATGAAGTAGCTTTCTTAGCATTAATTATTATTATTAGCAAAAATATCCATCACCTCAGAGGTTAGAGGATTAGTAGTTCAAGAACAGCCTACATAGTAAGTTCGGAGCAAGCCTGGGCTCTGTGAGACTGTCTCCCCCACCACACACACACACAAAATCAAAGAAAAAAAAGAGGCCAAATGTTTTGGCTTCCCCATTAGGAAGCACTCCCCGAGGCCTCATCGATTTCCCTGTATATATTTTTTGATGACCTCACTCCTTTTATTTTCTCATCTAAATTGCATGACTTTGCCAGGAATTCATTCCAGACAAAAAGAGAATTCTGTGCCTGATAGTGGGCCCCAAAGGACAGCAATAGAAGGGAAAAAAAAAGGAATTGACAATGGAACTAGGTCATCTTGTTTGTATAGGCCTCGTCACCTCCAGCCACTTGTTTGATACACACTCTGTCACATGTCACTCCTCTGGAGATTCTCTCCGGAACCAAGAACCACTTATCTCTGTGATGTCCCTCTGTTGCTAAGCTCCACCCACCCTGTGAACCTGAGCCGGAGGAGCTCGAAGGAGGAAGCCGTGGCGCAGCAGAAGGAAGGAAGGGAGAAAGCAGGTGTCCAAGATGCTAAGGCTTGTCGTGGAGTCTGCCAAGATTAGCCCACCGCTCAGCCCCCCACCCAAACCCTGTGTGACTGTCTACTTCAGAGGTGAGAACCAGCAGCCCTGCCAAGCATCACACTCTCAGAGAAAACTCGGTTATTCATATTCGACCCCATGAAAGATGTCCGTGTGACATGGGATGAGGTAGATTCTGATTGCTCCACAACCTTTTTGTTGTCAAGTCCCTAGCATCTCAAGTCCAGGGTTTGATCCCCCAACACAGTTTAAAACCCAGCCAGGTGAGAGGGGAAGAAAAAAAAGGACAATAGTTCCTTTTTAAAGTTTTTTTTTTAACGCATACGTGTGTGTCTGTGTGTGTGTGTGTGTGTGTGTGTGTTTTGTGTGCTTGCTTGTTTGGAGATGAGGTCTCACTGTGTAGCCCAGGCTGGCCATGAACTCCTCCTGAGTACTGGGGATTACAGGTATGCACCAGCTGTGTGTGAATGTTTATCTAAGCATCTAAGCACATTTACTTTGTGTGTACCTGGTGCCTACGGAAGTCAAAAGGCTGTTAGATCCTGTGGAACTAGGTTTACAAATGCTTGTGAGCCACCATATGGGTGCTGGGAACTGAACTCAGCTCCTCTGTGAAGGGACCTCAAATCAGCACATGTTGGGGACTGCGGACCACCAGACCCTGAATTTCCTGTAAGCAGCTTGTTTTCCTCTGCTCTGAGCACAAGACCCTGATGGCAGGGGAGTGGATTCTGATGGGTCTGCAGCTGAAACAGCCCGAGAGCTGGGGCGTGGCCAGAGCACTATATAAGTTGCCCCTAAACATGATAAACAGGGCATTCTTGTTTCAAGGATGACCCATGTCTCTCTCTGTCTGTTTGTGTGTTTAAATCTCCAGGCCCTTGCCCGAGACTTACAAACAGTCTCATAGTGCAGGTGCCTCACTACAGGCATAGTACACGTATTAGCGTGGATGGTACAGGCACAGAACACACCCAGACACCAAATTCCCATCACAAAAGAGATTTACTATCCCACAGGGAGAAGTGGGACTAGGAGGGGTGCCTCTGGATGGGACAGAGACATAAGCAGGTGTTTCTGCAAGAGCGGTCTGTGCTAGGATGAGTTGGTAAGTCCTGATTGTTCAGGTTAGGCACTGGAGCCAAATAATGAATTTTGAGAGCTGGACCTTGGTGTTTTAGTCAAGCATAAGGAACAAGGGAGAGGGAAGGGAGGAAG